TTAATATAGACATATATCCATCTGCTACAACATGCGCCTTAGCTTCTAATATAAATAAATGGGAAGTAGAGTCTTAGAAGAAATACATGAAAGATAAATGCATTTGAGTCAAAATTAAAATACTCAGATGAGTTTTATTCAAAATACACCAAATTTGAAGCTTGGGTAAAACAAATGAGTGGCTACTGCTGAGCTGCTTTTAGTCAAATTTCCACAACAGGTTTTGCAAGTTAAAATGCACTACGCATCACACGATGATGCTTTAGTATTATGAATAGGTAAAGAGATTGATTCCTTGAATTATCTAGGGTTACCATATCTAACAAATAAAAAAAGAGGACCCTCCACGGGCCCGGGCCCTGGCCCTGCCCATTTCCCCACCCCCCCGCCCCAACTCCGCCCCTTCCCCGCCCTAACTCTGCCCCCTCCACGCGGAAAGGGCAGCTCGAGAGCTACCGGCTTCATGGTTTGCCGGGCAGCCCCCAGATCCTGCGCCCCCGGCCGGCGCTTCCCCAGCGCAGCTGGAGCCTGGGAGGGGAAGCGCCCAGCCTGGGGCGCAGGGTCTGAAGGCTGCCCGGCAAACCGTGAAGCCGGTAGCGCTTCGGGCAGCCCCCTTGCCTCCGGACCCTGCGCCCCCAGATGGGCACTTCCCCTCCTGGGCTCCGGCGGCGCAGGGTCCGGAGGCATGGGGGCTGCCCGAAGCTGGTAGCACTCGGGCAGCCCGGCTCTTAAACAGAGCCGAAGAGTCAGGGGAGGAGCAGAGCCGCCATTTTCCCAGATATGTTCGGCTTTTTGGCAATTCCCCCCGGACGGGGGTTTAAGTGCCGAAAAGCCGGACATGTCCGGGAAAAAGAGGACGTATGGTAACCCTGAATTATCTCTAAGTCAGGGGTGAGGCGCTTCTTAAAAAATCAGTTTTACTGTATTAATCAAGTGCTGATTAGACTGGGTATTACATACAGTGTAGTTACAGCAAAGCCTTTATCACTGAGACCCATCAAACTACCATCCTTTGAGCAGACTTTTGTGAAACAGGAGAATTCAATTCTGAACTGAGCTGTGTTTATTGCAAATAAGGGTTCATGATTTCATGAAGAGATTGTAGAACTGTAAAAAAGACCTTTCCTATCTCCACAGGAAATACATGCATCCTCCCTCTGTGCTGAGAGGGAGGGGCTGGGGTTGGTGCCAGAAGCAACATGAGCACTTGAGTGGCAGCCATTTTACTGCAGCTCAAGCACACTGTCTGGATGCACCGAGGAAACACAGGGGGCAGCTTCTCAGCACTCGGAGCTGCCAGCTGCACCCTGAGCCCGTTTTGCTTGGCATTTCCCCCACACCAACATATATCTGGAAACATGCCTACTGAACATGTTAATGGGAATGGTACTGAAGAGCCCATGGATACTTCTGCTACATTTACCCATTCTGAGCATTTCCAGATTTTGCTTGATGCTGGTTTACAACTGCAAGTTGGTGAAAAATTAGATGGGGTTTACCTTGTGGGGCTAGTTGCACATGGTGATCTAGATAAAAGAGCTATTGAAGTTGTAAAGGAATTTAATAAAGAAGGTCTGTTGGCAGCGCTTCAGCACTTTAAAGACCCTAACGTCTCACATGTTCAGAACAATAGTGCTTTTTTTTTTTATGTTAAGACGACACATACAGAGATAAAAACAGGGGACCAAGGTGGCAGAGTAGTAAAGAGCAAGATGGAGAAAAAGTTAAGGTACTCTTGAAAGGAACAGGTTACACATTGATGTAACTAGTGGTCAGAGGAAGCATGGTCGTCCCTCCTTCAGAACGTGTGTACTCTGGACAATATCCTTTTGTCAGTATAGAGATTTTTGTCCAGCAATATTCCAAGAGATTTACTTGAGGATGAGCTTGTTCCATATTTGAGAAAGCGGATCCTGTCTGGGATCAGCACTTCATGATGGGTCAGTTAATGGGTCTAAATATAGGATATATTTTTGTCACTATGCGCTAAAGAGGCTGCCCAGGAGGCTGCTAAATCAGACTGTATTTGTAGCAGAATCATCAGGTGTGTTTCTGTTGGGGTCCTACAGGAATTGGTTCTTGTCCCCCAGCTATTTAACATTTTTATCAATGACCTGGAAAAAAAACATAAAATCATCACTGATAAAGGTTGCAGATGACTCAGTTCAGAGTGATTTGTAAATATGAAGAGTACTGGTAACTGATATAAAGCAATCTGGATTGTTTGGCAAACTGGGTAGAAGCAAACAATATGCATTTTACAGTGGCCAAATGTAAAGTTATGCATCTAGGAAAAAAGAACTTAGGCCATACTTATAGGATAGGGGAGTCTACCTTGGGAAGCAATGACTGTGAAAAAGATTGGGGGTCCTTGTGGATAATCAGCTGAACATGAGGTCCCAGTGCTATGCTGTGGTCGAAGGGGTTAGTGTGATCCTTGCATGTGTAAACTGGGGAATCCTGAGTAGAAGTAAGGAGGTAATATTACCTGTGTACCTGGCACTGGTGCGACTGCTGCTGGAATACTGTGTTTAGTTCTGGTATGCACAGTTCAAGATGGCTGTTGATAAATGGAGAGAGTTAAGAGAAAAGCCACAAGAATAACTAGCAGATAGGAAAACTTGCCTTATAGTGATAAACTCCAGGAGCTCAATCTGTTTAGTTTAACCAAGAGAAGGATAAGGGGTGATTTGATCAGTCTGTAAGTACCTGCATGGGGAGTAAAACTGATAATGGATTGTTCAATCTAGCAGATAAAATATAACAAAATCCAATGGCTGGAAGTTGAAGCTAGACACAGTGACTAGAAATAATAGGGTTACCATACGTCCAGATTTTCCCGGACATGTCCGGCTTTTTGGTTGTCAAATCCCCGTCCGGGGGGAAATTCCAAAAAGCCGGACATGTCTGGGAAAATAGGGAAGGGTTGTGGGGCTTGGATCCACGCTGGGGCCGGTGCTGGGGCTGGTGCCGGATGGGCCGGTGCCCCAGGGCCCAATCCGAGCTGGAGTCGCCAGGGCCGGAGCCACTCGGCCGGTGCCACGGGGCCAGAGCCGCGCAGCTGGGGCCGGTGCCCGTGCCCCAGGGCCTGAGCCGAGCTGGAGCCGCCGGGGCTGGGGCAGGCCGGGGCCAGCGCACTCGGCCGGAACCAGGACCAGTGCCCCAGGGCCCCGAGCCGGGCCGGGCTGGAGCCACCGGGGCCGGAGCCGCTCAGCCGGGGCCGGTGCCCGTGTCCCGGGGCCCAAGCCAAGCTGGAGCCGCCGGGGCGCTCCGCCAGAACTGGGGCCGGCGCCCCCGGGGCCCGAGCTGAGCCGGGCCGGAGCTGCCGGGGCCAGTGCCCCGGGGCCCGAGCTGAGCTGGAACCGCTGGGGCCGGGGCTGGCGCGCTCAGCTGGAACTAGGGCTGGCGCCCCAGGGCCCGAGCCAAGCCGGGCCCGAGCCGCTCGACCAGGGGGCCAGACTGGGTCGTACCCCCCCGCCCCAGCTTACCTGCTGCCTGCCTCCCTGTTTCAGGCTTCCTGCGAACATTTGATTCGCGGGAAGCAGGGGAGAGGGCGGAGTTGGGGCGGGGACTTTGGGAAGGGGGCGGAGTTGGGGTGGGGCCGGGGCAGAGTTGGGGCAGGGCCCCTTGGAGTGCCCTCCTTTTGTTATTTTAAAAAATGGTAACCCTAAGAAATAAGGCACAATTTTTAACAGGAATGATTACCAAGACTTGTGGTGGATTCTCCATCACTGGCAATTTTTAAATTAAGATTGAAACACTGTAATTCAAACATTAATTCATGGATGTCCTGTGGCTGGTATTATATAGGATATCAGGTTAGAGGATTGCAGTGCTCCCTTCTGGCATAGTAATCCTTGAATTCTTACTAGTAAATATCATTGAGGGATGCCATTAGAGACTCCTAAATGTCACAGGACTCCTAAGTCATAACCACATAGAAATCAACTTCAGCTAATGTGGTAGAAGTAAGTGAAGTTCCAAACTGAAAGCTTAGCTGTCTAAAAATGGTGTACTAGCTTTCTTTTGGAAGCAACTAGAGATTTGAAAGGTGCTCAGACTTCTCTACAGTTCTTTAGAGGATGCTGTCATGTAAAGACTAAGTTGAAATATACTGCTGCATGCCTTTGAAATTAATCTACCAAAGCACATGTTGCTTTTCGCAGTTATTTAAAGGTCTGTCTATACTGCAGCCGAGCAAGCCTCTGAGCCCAGGTAGGCAGATTTGTGCTAGTAGGGCTTGCACTAGCACACTAAAAGTAATTGTGTGGACATTGGGACATAGATGGAGGCTCAGGCTAGCCACCCAAGCTCGGACCCACCCTACCCCCTGCAACTAATATCTACCCTGCTATATTTAGCATGTTAGCATGAGTCCGGGCTGGGAAGCTTGCTCCCAGCTGCAGTGCAGACATACCTTAAGGACTCAACTTACTAATGGTTTACTGATTGATTTCTAGGTAAAAACTAACCAGTAAAGCATTTCCCTTTGGCATACGACTATAATTTACCAATGCTATGTATGCATGATGTCAGTCATTCTAAAAATAAATAGCAAAAGTTATTCACAATTCTATAATCATTTTCATGAAAAGGATAACAATTATTTGCATTAAACAAACTACAGTTTGGATCAGAATTGTCTGTTTTTTTAATAAATAGTTTGTTCCTTTTCTATCAAATGTATATATGTTTGGGTTTTGAAAATAAATTCATATATATGATTAGGGACTTTCATGAATATTTGTAAACCATTTCAGATGTTTTGTGAAAATTGCAATTTCTTTCATCAATTTCATAAAAACATTTTGTTTCGTATGTCTGGTGTAACACACGTTTCAGTCATTAAATTTCTAGGGAATTATTACACACAATCTCCCCAGCGTTTTGTAAGAGGAAATCATAGGAAGGGTTCAGGGTGCAGTAATATCTGAATTACAGTGGTTTGGGGAAGAAATCTATTAAGAAATTAACCTGTTTTATTTCGTTTCCATTTTTAGCACCTGGTCTTACTGCAGTTGTTGGAGGACGTCCAAGAGTGTAAGTTCACTTCTGATCTTCCCTTGTTTTACTGTGGGCATATAGTATCCTTTAAAAAAAAAAGTCCAGTTGTGTCTTGTGTTATATCTACTACTGGTCACAAGATAACAGTCATACTGCAAAATTCTTGTTAAATTAGCAGACTTCTCTATGTGGTTGTTGGTCACACCATATTTACCTCAGGTGAGACTCTATCTAGGGTCTTAGTGGCAACATTTCTACTAGGTGAGCCATAAGGAAAACTGTGCTAACTTTGTTTCAGCTGGAATTGGCTCTTTATACCAGCTAAGAACTGCACTTAGATCATTTATGCTTACAAAACGGTCTCCTTTTGCAATCATAGGTTGAAAGCTATGAAGCAGATTAGCTTTAGAGTAATTGTGAGCATCCCTATAAACTGGTTTTGGATCAGTATTTTTTTCATATTTAAAACTCTGTTGATGACTTAAATCTTTGTTTTAAATGTACAAACTCGCATTTCTGCTCTCACTCATGAGAACAGTTACTTCTAACTGTGAACAGTCACAGTAGAAATGCCTCAGGATGGTCAGGGTACTCTGATTGGGTACTATCTTTAACTACCATAAACTTACTCTGAGCATATATTTGTGTCAGTTTTGCCTAACCACCTGCAAAATACAATACCATATTGGACAGATATTCAGAAGGTACATGAATTTTGATTGGTCATCCTCGGTTTTATAAGCATATTAATGATACCATTTAAAGCTGCCTTGCCCCTTTTCCTTCCCTTTTTTTATTTCACTTTCTTAATAAGAAATAAGGCATTTCAGTCATTATATTTCTAGGGAGTTACTACACTTTTCAGATATACCAAAATAGCTCAGAAAAGCATTTCTGATCATGACTTTTAATTCCTATACTGTGGATTTTCAAATGCCAAATGATCTTAAAGATGAATAATCTGACATTTGTATTTGTTTCTATTTATATTCATTATATCTGTTGCTTTGTATGTCCAGGTCTCCAGTTCTGAAACCATTTTTCTTCCTTTATCCCAAAAGAAATGTCAAGGTAAGAGCTGCTCCTTAAGGGTGTGATCCTTTTCTCGTTGAAGTTAATGGAAAGATAATATTGATTGCCTGGGAACAGAATCGGGCCTTAAAACTGCAAAATCTACTAGTGAGTTTTATGAAAAGTATATTTTCCTAGCAGATTGTTGTGCCACAAAAAGTGTTATAGCCATCTGTCATAGATTAACTTTAAAATACTTCCTTTCTAGTGATTACTGAAACACTAGATTTCTCCCAGTAGGTTTCTAGGACTCCTGTCTTTGCATATACACTTGACTGTAAAGAGAGTTTATGAGAGAGACAATTAAAGATATTACCTCACTCACCTTGTGTGTCTCATATCCTGGGACCAACATGGCTACAACAACACTGCAAACATTATAGTTTATAAATACTACAATATATTAACTTAAATTAGTGGTCTTGTTGTAAAGGCAGTGAACTTGGAATCAGGAGATCTGTATTCTAATCCTCTGTGACCTTGGGTAAATCTTTTAATCTCCTTGGGTCTGATTCTACTTTTATTAACACTGGAGCAAGTCAGGAGTGACTGCTGAAATCAATAGAGCTACATTGGTGTAAAACTTGTGTAAGTGAGAGAAGAATCAGGTCCTTTGTGTTTCAGTTCCTCATCTGTAAAAATGGGAATTGTAATTCCCTACCTCATAGGGGCATTGTAAGACTAAAATAATGAATGTGAGAAACTCACTACTGTAATATCTGAGTGGAGGAGTTCCATAGAAATGTCTATGAATAAAAATCAAACTATGTCCTATAGGTCATGTTTAGTTCACAATAAGAGTTTTCTTCAGCCTGTGGAGTTCATGTTCAGGTGACTGGACAGCATGATCTGTAGAATTACAGCGGGGATGGGCATGTCTACACTAGAGGTGGAGGTAGACATACTTGCACTAACTTCAGTCAAGCTAGCATATTAAAAGTAGCAGTGTACCCATTGCGGTGCAAGCGGTGGGAGAGGCTAGTTGACCAATTGCATACTTAGGGTTTCAGACAGGATTGTACTTGGGGTGGCTAGTCAATCCCACCTGTAATGTCACCATGGCTATACTTCTGTTTTTAGTGCTCTAACTCAGAGTTAGCACAAGTATGTCTATACAAGCTGGAAATTACCCCGTTAGCTCATATGTTGACATACTTGATGTGATGTAGCCCCACATCTTTTTTGTTATGCTTGCACTTCCCTGCAGTAGATTTAAGTCTTTGTGAGAGCAGCTGGAACAGGAGATTATTCTTTTTGTGAATATAGTGTACTTATTCTTCTAAGAAAGTGTGGGTGTCATTGCTCTTCAGATAGGAACTAGCTCCTTTACCCTGTGGAGACTGAAGACCAAACTGCATATATACCCTTCCTCCTCCTGATCATTTATTTGACTTGCTCCTTACATTTTGGCTATTACTTAAATTTCATAATAAGGCATCCTAAGTGAAATTGCAGCTGATACAAAAGCTTCTTGGCCTATCCAATATCGTGAGGTAGACCAACATATATTGACCTTTGGCTAGAGTTTAAGCTCCACAGTGATGGTCTTCTAAATGGTGTGAAGATGGGAAAGCTAGAGGAGATGGGCAAAGGCAGGAAATGAAAGAAGTAAAAGCAAACTAGAAATTGTGAAAGACATTACACCTTTAGCAGAACAATTGAATTAATATGTTTACAGGATTTGCCATGGTAAAAATATTTTTCTTTAATAGAAGAAAAATGCCTTTTTCTAAATGGTTATAAGGCAAATCTAACACTTCAAAGATGACAACAAAGTGTCAGGTTCGCTGTCCTGATCCAGGTGTAACTGAGGAGACTGTTATGTGCAAATAATCTGAAAGAATGTAAGCAACTTGAGACAAGGACTGCATCTGTGAGTTTATACAGTGCTTTGCACAATAGGGCCCAGATTCTGATTGGGGTTTTTTTGGGGTATTGCTGCAATGTAAAATTAATAGTAATTAAAATACTGTAAGCAATTTTTGAACTGCAGTAGCAGAAAAAGGAGCAGGCTATTTGTCACATTTGTTCACTATATGAATTATGACTTGATCTGATAAACCGTAGTTCAGTAAAATACACGCCTCTACTAGAGATTAAATTTTGAATGACAGTCAATACAGCCTAAAGTATTTTATCAAATATCTTGTTGTTGCCAAATCTGATGTACAATAGACCTTAGCCTATTACTGTTTAAATTGATCAGATTAAACCTAAAATTGTTAATTATTTTCCAGGCTTGGTAAAATGCCTATTGAGATTAAATAGTAACCTAATCTAAGTCTACACTTGCCATTTAAAACGGAAAAAGTCCCTTTTTTGCGCAAAAACCATGGGAGCGTTTACACTTGCCAATGACTTTTTGCAGTGAAACTCAGAAGTTTCACTGCAAAAAGAAAACCACCTCCACGAGAGGCGTACAGCTCTTACCGGTGATACTTTTGCGGTGATGTGCAAGCGAAAACACATTCTTCCTGTTTACAGAGCTTTTGGCCTCCGGAGGATATCCCACAGTACCTAGGTGACCACTCTAGCCAGCAGCTCTGCTGCTCTGTTTCCAGGTAAACAGACATCCACCCCTCCCACTGTAAAGCCCTGGGAACTTTGAAACTCCCCTTCCTGTTTTCTTGGCAAGTGCTCACTTATCTGGCCAGGTGACAATGCCTGCTCCAGGGAACGAACGATCCCCTGCTTGGAGCAATGCTGAGCTACTGGAGCTGATCAGTGTTTGGGGAGAGGAGTCTGTGCAGGGACCCAGGATGCCCCTCGATCATCCCCCCCCTTCCCATAAGACCCATCATCAAACTGGAGAGAGCTGCACTGTGGGATAGTTGCCCTAGAGTGCTGCTCTCATCAGTGATGGAAGTGCTGCTAATGTAAACACTCTCTGACACCTGAGGAATTAAGTGAGTACACAAACCAGTGCTTTACTTTCACTGGTTCCCTATCACTGGTGAAACTTACAGTGCAAAAACTCTGCAAGTATAGACATAGCCTAGCAGAGAAGGAAAAGCAACAGCTTTCTACTTCCTCTTCCCTCAAACAGAGCACCTCAAAAACCTTACTCATTCAGCCTCATTTCCTGTACGTTCTCTATTTGATACATTGATAGGCTTAATCAACAATGAAATTGTATGTGACCTACCATCATTAGAGGGTGTCATTACATAAATACAAGTCTTTGATTAAGAATCTGGAGCCATGCATCAACAGTAATAGTCTACATGTAGACTGTAGCGCAGGTATGGGATGGATTTACTGCTTCTATAATTTAGGAGTTCACTTAGGGAGAGTCTGACTCCCATTGAAATAAACATACTTCAGCATTTGCCCTAAAAAGAAAAGTATTACCTAAGGAGATTTTTGAATGTTTTAACATTGCTACAATGAATTCTCTTGCTTTGTGCTCAGTAAATTAGTTTTTGTTTCCTTTTTTGGTGAAAAATGAGGATTGTCTTCTTGTTTATTTCTTTGCTCATATACAATTGTTCCAACTGAGCAGACAGCATTTATGGCTTTACAGCTGAAAAAGTTACTTAACTTTTGTTAGAAGATGGCCTTATTTGAATACATTCATTTAAAAAAACCCTGAAAGCATTTGTCAACCTAACTTTAAAAAGAACTCGCCAAAATCCCAGCAAAAATATCTAAGGCAAGAATAGTTTTTTTCCAGAATATTTTTTTACTTATGATCTCTTCACGTAAGCTTTAGAGATCTTGTTAAAAGTTCACAAATTGTGTATGCTGCTCCAAACTGACTACTGCTTCCCAGGCAATACTCTCATGGTCTTCAGACCAACATTAGGAGTGCTTCTGTGACATATTTCAACAAGAGAAATGGATAACGTTAACTGGTGTGCCCTACCAACCTTTTTCAGTCTGAAGGTGATTGGTCTCCAAGTAGACAATGAGTTTTTATGTCACACTTTAAATAGAGCACCAAAACAAGGTTGTCTCGAGTTTCCTGGGAGTTTCCCCTTTTCATGTTCTGTTCATTCAAGGTAAACAACATGAATATTTATATTTCACTTTTGCTTTCATCTCAACATGAAGAAAATCCATCATCTCTCTCTCAGTGCCAACCTTTCTCCTGACTCTAGTCATACCTGCCTAATGATTCAGGGGAGGAGACTTGTCCCCAGAGAGAAGAAAGAAAAATAGAAGTTACTCTGTCCAAATGACAAAAAAAAATTGTTTTCCAGGAAGAAATTGAATACTGTATTATATTGCAGAATATGGAGGAAGTTCAGTACATGGTGGGTACAGAGCTAAAAAGCATAAAGCTAAGTCACCCAATATTGCCCAAATAAAATATTTCCCTTAAAATGGACTTTCCCTGGGACTGAAGGTGAACATACTTTGCAACATGCTTCAACTCTTTTCATCATTCTAGGAGTAAACAAGCCAAGGCTCATCCTGTCAAAAGGTTCCTAAGAACTACAATACTTTTTTAACCCACAAGAAAGAGATTGAGTTGCTCCTTGGCGACTGAATTTAGTTCCAGATGCTCTCACCAAAACATCATTTGGATCTCTACATTTAAATTTCTTGTACTGTCTTTCTGTTTAAAGTGGCATTTGTAGTGGCAATCATCTCAGCCTGGTACATTTCCAAACTAAAGAGACTATCTGTGGAACCTCAGTACTTCACTTTTAATGCAAAATAGCGCTTCATCCGGATCAGTCTTCATCCCTAAGATAGACACAATTTCCCATCATGCTTAAGAAGTGTAGTTTATCCTTCCTTTTACCCCAAGATCATTCATCCTAATGGAAAAAAATATAAGCGCTGTCCTAATTTATCTAAAAAGGACTAAAGCCTTCAGAAATTCATTTCCAATTCATCTTCTGTCAGCCTGCAGTTAAAACTTTGAAATCCACAATTAAAACTATACATGTTGAAGCTTACAAAACAACAAATGCACATTAGACCAGAATTGTGTCAATGGGTAGAGAAATCCTTTGTATTTTATGAGATCTGCAAAGATAGGTATTTGATCCTCTGTGCACACCTTTCCTGAACATTAAAATTGGATGCACAGGTGCAGATGCTGCTTTTGGAAGTTTTGAACTGCATGCTAAAAGACCTACTTGCTTCTCACTTATATTTATTAAACTTCTTGTAAGTAGTTTAGGTATTAATTTGGTTTCCACTGATAAACACATACATATATACATACATACACATACTGCTGTTATCATAATAGTGAACTTGGCCATGAATGATGAAAGACTTCCAACAGAACTGAAAGGCAACACATTGAAAACTAATAAAAGGCATTTCCTTTTATATTGCACAAAAATTAATCTGTGAAACCGACTGCCATAAAATATCATTGAGTGTTAGAGCTTAAGATTCAAAAAGAGGTTTGTTATAAGAATGGCCCTACTGGGTCAGACCAAAGGTCCATCTAGCCTAGTATACTGTCTTCAGACAGTGGCCAGTGCCAGGTGCCCCACAGGGAATGAAAGAACAGGTAATCATCAAGTGATCCATCCCCATTCTGCTCATTCCCAGCTTCTGGCAAACAAAGGCTAGGGACACCATTCCTGCCCATCCTGGCTAATCGCCATTGATGGACCTATGCTCCATGAATTTATCTAGTTCTTTTTTGAACCCTGTTATGGTCTTGGCCTTCACAATATCCTCTAGCAAGGAGTTCCATAGGTTGACCGTGTGTTGTGTGAAGAAATACTTCCTTTTATTTGTTTTAAACCTGCTGCCTATTAATTTCATTTGGTGACTCCTAGTTGTTGTGTTATGAGAAGTAGTAAACAACACTTCCTTATCTGCTGTCTCTACACCAGTCATGATTTTATAGACCTCAATCATATCTCCCCTTAGCCGCCTCTTTTCCAAACTGCAAAGTTCCAGTCTTATTAATTTCTTCTCATACGGAAGCCGTTCCATATCTCTAATCATTTTTGTTGCCCTTTTCTGAACCTTTTCCAATTCCAGTATATCTTTTTTGAGATGGGGCGACCACATCTGCATACAGTATTCAAGTTGTGGGCGTACCATGGATTTATATAGAGGCAACATGATATTTTCTGTTCTGTTATTTATCCCTTTCTTAATTATTCCCAGCATTCTATTCGCTTTTTGACTGCTGCTGCACATTGAGTGGATGTTTTCAGAGAACTATCCACAATGACTCCAAGATCTCTTTTTTGAGTGGTAACAGCTAATTTAGACTGCATCATTTTATATGTATAATTGGGATTGTGTTTTCTAATGTGCATTACTTTGCTTTTATCAACACTAAATTTCATCTGCCATTTTGTTGCCAAGTCACCCAGTTTTGAGAGATCCTTTTATAGCGCTTCGCAGTCTGCCTGGGTCTTAACTATCTTTAGTAATTTTGTATCATCTGCAAATTTTGCCACTGTTTACCCCTTTTTCCAGATCATTTATGAATATGTTGAATAGGACTGGTCCCAAAACAGACCCCTGGGGGACACCACTATTTACCTCTCTCCATTCTGAAAACTGACCATTTATTCCTAGCCTTTGTTTCCTATCTTTTAACTAGTTACCAATCCATGAGAGCACCTTCCCTTTTATCCCGTGGCAGCTTACTTTGAGTAAGAGCCTTTGGTGAGGGACTTTGTAAAAGGCTTTCTGAAAATCTAAGTACACTATACCCACTGGATCCCCTTGGTCTGCATGCTTGTTGAACCCCTCAAGGAATTCTAGTAGATTGGTGAGGCATGATTTCCCTTTACTAAAACCATGTTGCCTCTTCCTCAACAAATTATGTTCATCTGTATGTCTGAAAATATTGTTCTTTATTATAGTTTCAACCAGTTTGCCCGGTACTGAAGTCAGGTTTACAGGCCTGTAATTGCCGGGATCACCTCTAGAGCCCTTTTTAAAAATTGGCATCACGATAGCTATCCTCCAGTCATCTGGTACAGAAGCTGATTTAAATGATAGGTTACAGACTACAGTTAGTAGTTGTGCAATTTCACATTTGAGTTCCTTCAGATCTCTTGGGTGAATACCATTTGGTCCTGGTGACTTATTGCTGTTTAATTTATCAATTTGTTCCAAAACCTCCTCGGATGATACCTCAATCTGGGACAGTTCCTCAGATCTATCACCTAAAAAGAATGTCTCGGGTTTGGGAACCTCCCTCATATCCTCAGCCATGAAGACTGATGCAAAGAATTCATTTAGTTTCTCCGCAATGGCCTTATTGTCCTTGAGTGCTCCTTTAGCACCTCAATCGTCCAGTGGCCCCACTGGTTGTTTAGCAGGCTTCCTGCTTCTGATGTATTTAAAAACACATTTGCTATTACTTTTTGAGTCTTTGGCTAAGTGTTCCTCAAATTCTTTTTTGGCCTTCCTAATTGTATTTTTACACTTCATTTGCCAGTGTTTATGATCCTTTCTATTTTCCTCACTAGGATTTAACTTCCACTTTTTAAAGGATGCCTTTTTGCCTCTCACTGCTTCTTTTACTTTGTTGTTTAGTCACAGTGGCTCTTTTTTTGGTTCTCTTACTATGTTTTTTTAAAATTTGGGGTATACATTTAGGGTTGAGCCTCTATTATGGTGTCTTTTAAAAGTTCCCACACAGCTTGCAGAGATTTCACTTTTGGCACTGTACCCTTTAATTTCTGTTTAACTAACCTCCTCATTTTTCTGTAGTTCCCATTTCTGAAATTAAATGCTACAGTGTTGGGCCACTGTGGTGTTTTTCCTGCCACAGGGATATTAACTTTAATTATATTATGGCTACTATTACCAAGCGGTCCAGCTATATTCACTTCTTGGACCAGATTCTGTGCTGCTCCACTTAGCACTAAATCAAGAAGTGCCTCTCCTCTAGTGGGTTCCAGGACCAGCTGCTCCAAGAAGCAGTCATTTAAGGTGTCAAGAAACTTTATCTCTGCATCCCGTCCTGAGGTGACATGTACCCAGGGATAGTTGAAATCCCCCATTATTATTATTGAGTTTTTTATTTTAATACCCTCTCTAATCTCCCTGAGCATTTCACAGTCACTATCACTATCCTGGTCAGGTGCTCGGTAATATATACCTACCGCTATGTTCTTATTATTAGAGCATGGAATTTCTATTCAGAAAGGTTCTATGGTACAGTTTGATCCATTTACGATTTTTACTTCATTTGATTCTATGCTTTCTTTCACATTTAGTGCCACTCTCCCACCAGCATGACCTGTTTTGTCCTTCCGATATATTTGTACCCTGGTATTACTGTATCCCATTGATTACCCTCATTCCACCAAGTTTGTGATGCCTATTATATCACTGCCCTCATTTAATACAAGGCACTCTAGTTCACCCATTTTATTATTTAGACTTCTAGCATTGGTATATAAGCACTTTAAAAACTTGTCACTTTTTAGCTGTAATTGAATGAGTCTTTTTTTCATTTGACTGTTTCTGATCAGACCCTGCCTGTATTTTATCATTTTCCATCCTCTCGTCCTCACTAAGACATAGAGATTCTCTATTAATAGATCCTCCCCTAAGGGATGTCCGAACCATGTGCTTCTCTGCACCTGTCAGCTTTCCCCCAGCCCTTAACATTAAAAAGGTCATAGAGCAGTTTTTAAACTAAGTGCCAGCAATCTGGTTCCATTTTGGTTTAGGTGAAGGCCATCCTTCCTGAATAGGCTCCACCTTCCCCAAAAGTTTCCCCAGTTCCTAATAAATCTAAACCTCTCCTCCCTACCCCATCGTCTCATCCACACATTGAGACTCTGCAGTTCTGCCTGTCTAACTGGCCCTGCTCGTGGAACTGGGAGCATCTCAGAGAATGCTATCATGGAGGTCCTGGACATCAATCTCATACCTAGCAGCCTAAATTTGGCCTCCAGGACCTTTCTCCTATCCTTCCATATGTTATTGGTACCTACATGTATCACGACCACCGGCTCCTCCCTAGCACTACACATAAGTCTATCTAGAAGTCTCGAGAGATCCGCAACCTTTGCACCAGGCAGGCAAGTTACCATGCAGTTCTTCCACATATGAATATGGATAATAAGAACATTCACAGTTACAAAAGATATCTACAATTTTAAAGGCTATAAACTTTCAGACTTCAAGGCATAAGCCAACCATTAACTTCATGGGGCTAGGCAGAATATGTCCTTTATAGGTATTGTAATTGTCTATTATGGCATTTCTTTCCTTTGAAGCATATGGTACTAGCCAGTGTCAGAGATAGGACACCCAACTAGATGGAGCTCCTGTTTGACCTGGTAAGGCAACTTCTATGTTCCTATATTAAAATAAGCCATAGAGTCCATCACTTTTTCCACCATACTTGAAGATGGGGTTTAGGAATAGAGAATTATAAAGCAGAAATTTTAATAAAATTCACATGCATTGCACTGCATTTCTTTTTGTGTAATTTAATAGTTTAAAAATGGGTATTTTTTCAGATCAACATCTTTTTGAATGGACAGCATGTTGAAACATTTCAGGAAGATCTTACATTTACGTCAGATGCAGTTGTTTCATTTGATTCACCAAAGACTGATGATGAGTTAAAAGGTATGTTTGTCTTTAATATCACTGACTTTTCTCTCTAGCTATTATTTATACATTTATACATTTATACATTTACTAGGTATTCATCTTTGTCTCTGTGTAAACCTCAATGTCATGAGAAATACTTGCATAAAGTTTTGATTTGTGTGGCACATAGCACTGTCCACATGTTAGATGCAGGGACCAGAACAAACTTTTTCCAGTGGCAACAGAGAGTGGAAAAAGAACAGGAGTACTTGTGGCACCTTAGAGACTAACAGATTTATTAGAGCATAAACTTTCGTGGACTACAGCCCACTTCTTGCACTGGGAGCACCCCCCGCTTGAAACAGGAGTGTGACACCTACATGTAGTGAGAGAAGGGGGGAGATAAAGAGGGGAAATGATGGTGTAGAGCAGGCAAAAAGCCATGTGGCTAACCACTTAGATTGACTCTGTAAGAGTCCCCAGCCTTTGAGTCCCTTTGGGTTTGTCTACACCACAGACGTGTGATTGCAGCATGGATGTACTTAAGCTACCTTTGATCTAGCTGGCTTGAGTAATAATACAGTGGAGTCAGGCAGTACAGACTTCAGCATAGGCTAGCTACTCGAGCATGAGTACACTTGAGGGCCCTGTGCTGCTGCAGCTTCATTGCTGTAATCACTTGAGCTAGCTAGATCAAAGCTAGCTCAGGTCTTCAGCTACCTGGGCTTCAGTCACACCTGTTGATTGCAGTGTAGACATACACTCTGTTATACATCTCTGGTCACAGATTACAGAACACAATACACTCCTGGTTTATCCACCGAGGTCCTCTGTTTCAAAAAGAAGCCAAACGGGATGGAAAACAAAACAAATGTGTATATATATCATTAATTTTCATTTATAATTTGACCTGAGGATATATATTGGAAAAAGAATGGTTATTTACTTTCCTTTTGTTCTTCCAAACTTCTTGTACTCATAATAATACCTAGCTCTTATATGGCATTTTTCATCTGTAGATCTCAAAGCACTGCTAAGATTACTCTAGTCTGCTTTGTAAATTTAATTACATTTACTAAGTTGAAATATTGTCTACACATAGAAATTTTTCCCAGACAATAGTAATTGCAGTAAATCAACAGCATGGTATTCCCAAGATATCCTATGCTCCTTTTGCTTCACTGCTGAGCAGTGTGCATTCTGGGATTTTTCTTGCTGTGCATTGTGGGATGCATAGCCAAAGCCAGGCTAGTTCCGAATTTTTAAATCTGAGGCACAGCTGATGGAGGGGGGCCTGGCTGGCTTGGTATGCAAATTGAAGGACATATTTACAACTACCGAAATGACTAACTCCTACCAACAACATATCTTTCCCTGTCCAGAAAACTAGGACATTCAATGGCAACAAACTGCTGAAGCAAAACTACCTCTGCGTTGTGATCCGTCATGCCCTTGCAGAACACTGAATTGAGCAACTTCTGAAAACCAGGAAATACAGCATTGTTTGCCAATGTAACCGTAACTCTGCCCTCTTTCAACAACCCTGTTAACACTCGTACCTTACTCTGCCAGTCCCACCGTTGTTGAAATGTACAAGCTCTTCATCTCCTCTTACAACCCATTCTCTCACCCACAGAATTCCATTTACCACTACGGAAAGATAATAAGGAACAAAAAATGCTCACGCCACCTTTCCTCTGGAAAGAGTAGCGAGAGTTCTCTGGCTGAGCTGTAGAGCCAGATCAGGCTGGTGCAAGCAGAAGGCAGTCAGGGAATCACCAGCAAACTTCCCCAGGCCACAGAGCCATGACCAGAAGGGACAGCCAGAGAGGGCTGAAGGTTGGGGAATGATGGAGAGGTGAACTAGCTGATGTCTCCAGGAGAAAGCTAGAACCAGACCTGAGAATTAAACAAGGATGAGAAGCACCCCAGCTAGAGAGGCTAGGGTTAGGGATGGTGAGAGATGCCAGAGCCATACCTGAGAGGCTATGCAGAGTGAGAGATGCTGGAGCTGTACTGGAGAGCTGGAAAGTGATAAGCGACACCAGACACGTACTGGATGTGTCAATGGACTATTGGGACTTGAAAGACTTAATTTACTCTTTGGACTGTGCTAGGGAATTCTGAATTATGGTTGTGGGAATTTTGTAATAAATTACCCCACAGAGCTAGTTATACTCGAAAAGCTTGCGTGGAATTACTGCAGATTCAGGAAGAAAGGAGAAACGGAGGCAGGCTTATCTGTTGTACTGCAGCTTGCCACAGGAGAAATGTGGGCAGGCGATTGGCCCCTGGGAAGAGGGATACTCAGAGTGCCTGGAATTTGGAAAGGGCCACTATGAGGCCACCCCATGTCAGACAAACATGGAGTTCACAGGAAACCAATTCCTATGTTCCTGTCAAATTTAGCTAATCAGATTCTTTGAGGGAATGCCAAAGAAATTCAGGGAGGGCAAAGCAGTGGCTGAGCCTGACCTATCTTTCATCAAGACAAAACTTTCCATAAAAATAAATATATTTAGAGAATTTGAGGTTCAGAGCTAAAACTGATGGGACCGTATGGTACTGAAAGTCATAGTGATGGGCTGCTAGTTATCCTGAAAGTAGCAATTAGCTGGAAATTGAAGGTTTTTCATACACTATTTATTGACAAAATTGCCCACTGCATTTTAATAACATATAATAGCTGTGAATATCCCCTTCAGGTCAGTCCAGGATTGTCATTATTTCAGGTCTGCCCACCAGAGAAATGTGAGATGTTCCATCAGGCTCTTGAGCTCTATGTTGTCAGATAGTCTCAACCTCTAGATTTCATGTTAGAATTGTTTTTCGTAAGGTATATAATTCTTCGTAACAGTTTAAAGGAAAATACCAAAGTACAGATCTGCCAAGATGTTTGATGTATCTTGGGTACCAGGTCTAAGTCAGCTGATGCAGTATTCTCAAAACTGGCCAACATGTTCTGTGGTATTGGAACAGGTATAGAACGGTTGATTCTGAGGAGCACACCACCGGGGATGACTATGCCTGAGTAAAGATGGCAGGATTGAAAATCAGTCAGAGATCAGTGTCTAATTGCCATTTGTGCCTTCAAAAATATCTTCCTCTATTTACAATCTTATCCTTTGAAATAGATGCTTTTTAATATGTGGTTATTTATAACTAACATAGAACCAAATTATACCCTTGGAACTCTCATTTAAATCAGGTGCAAATGCTAGTCTGGGGGCAGAATTTAATCTATAGCTGGGGGTTCCAGGGAGAGTTAAATTAAGATTAGGAAATGACAATTTGGTCTAATTAGGAAACAAGAAGCTATTGCCCTGTTTAATAAGTGCTGGCAGTCTATTATGTCCCCAATCTGTCAAGGAAATTGTTAATGCTAAATGCTAATGAAACTCATTGCTATCAAATGCCATCTCAGCATCAGGGAGAGATCATGTCTCCTGAGATATTTGACATCAACAGTTAAGTTCTAAATCCTGCAATGTTTATTCAAAACTCACATTGACTTCTTAAAAATGAACTCCAGTGTCAGTTTTCTCTGAGTAAGAACTGTAAGATTTGGCCCTTAATGCATAAAAGTGGCTCAAGGTTTACTTACTTCTGAGAAGTTAAACTGTTGTCATTATGTATGAGACTTAGACCAATAGAGCAGATTCTGAAGGGAATAACTTTAGCTGCATTTTTTCTGTCAGCATTTAGCAAGGAGATGAGAAGTATTTTTCTTATGTTGCTTGGTTATCTTGAGTGTGAGGGACTGTTCGTTGTCTTTAAATTAGTAGATAAGGGAAATATGTGAAAACGGATTTCAGCAATGCTGCTTGCTGTGGCTCTAGGTGGGTGGAAAGGGAATTCACAATTTGCTCTAGCTTCAGAGAGAATGCTGCTTTAGTAGTTTTTCTGAGAAGTTTATGAAATAAAAAACAACTTACTGATTATTAGCCAAATTAATATATCCTTCATCTATTTATCAATGGAAACACCAGAACACTTTCTAGTTCTGCTTTGTTTAAAGGGACGTTGTCAAAGACTCGATTCATGTAAAATACTGTTTGATGGAAAGAGCAATACTGCAGTTAGCATACATGCAACAAATAAGTTTAAAAACTGTGATATTTTAATTTTTAAAGGAGCACTACATTTAGTTTTCTTTACCAACTATGAAATAGGTACAAATGACTACAAGTGGGATGACTCATGGGGTTGCAGATTCAGCCAAAACAACCAGAGAGGTGCATTGCCCCACAAAAAAGTTTATTAAAAAAGAGTGAAGTTTGAAAGTGTGTTTTAATGGAGTTGAGGTAACCCATCTTCCCCACCCCCAAATGTTACACCTTTAGGAAACTTCAACGTGAAAAAACTTAAAATGTTAGAAAGTCTAGAAATGAACATTTAAGATGGTCAATCATTTTCCCATAACCATTAATCCTCTCAATCATTCACTTTTACGCCAACTAACTTGCACTTTTTCTCCAAGGAATAAATTTCCAATAGACTATAATACTAAAACATATACAATATTATTCACTTAAAAAATCCTTATTTCCTACACAATTAAAAGTATAACCTTTATAACTTGATCTTAGTGGAACTACTAGAGAAGTACACAAAACACAAACTTCAAAGACACCTATTCCATCAAAATGTACAATTTATTTATTTATTTTATAATTTATTTTGTATTTTTACACAGATCTGCCATGTGGTCCACATACATATTGTTTAGAAGATCTTGCTTATACTAGAAGTGGAGACAAAGGCAACTCTGCAAATATAGGTATTTTTCTATTCTAATATTGTAATGTAGGGAAGATTTTCAAAGGCACAAATGGCAACTTAGATGCCTAATTCTTATTGACTTTCAGTAATAGGTGCTGAACTGTCATTTGTGCCTTTGAAAACCTCCCCCGTAATCTGATTCCTTCCTTCTACCCTGTAACATCAGTACAAGTGCTCTCTTAATGAAATATGTTTGCTTCTCTGTAGTTTATTTTAAATATCCATGAGAGTGTGTTAGCTGTTTAGTTAATTGACATTTATCCAATATGTGTTTAAATATAAAGTACATATAAAATATCTGTATATTGGCTCAAGGTTTACTTACTTCTGAGAAGTTAAACTGTTGTCATTATGTATGAGACTTAGACCAATAGAGCAGATTCTGAAGGGAATAACTTTAGCTGCATTTTTCTGTCAG